CGCAGCGCTATCTACATACTTCTCGACAATTCTGCGGCTGTTCAGGCTTTACTGACGGTAACAACAGGCTCATCATCCTGGCGTATCCAAAAGTTCGTGAAACTGGCCGCGGGATCAGCCGTGCCTGTCAAAATAGGATGGATTCCGGGCCACGAAGGGCTGGCAGGAAATGAAATCGCCGATGAATTCGCTCGAAGAGAGCTTAACTCGCCGGACAACTCTAGGACGACACATGATGTGATGACCCTCGCCTCATCTGGACGGAAAGCCCGTGAACTGGCCAGGCAGATGTTGACAGACTGGTGGCACTCGAACCGCCCCAAACATTACGCCGACCTTGAACTCGAGATGCGCCGCAAGAAACCGCCAGAGCTAGCGCTACCCAGAGCGGTCTTAGCACGCTTGATCGCTGCCCGACCTGGACATGGGGACTTTGCGGCATATCATCGACGCTTCAACCACACTGCCGCTACACTTATATGCGAGTGTGGGAGGGAAAAATCAGTTGGTCACCTTGTCCAGTGTCGAAAAGCACTGGCAACTTGGCGGCTAAAAAGCGGAAAGCGAAGGGCACTAGCTCTGGAAACGATGCTCGTATCAAATGGATGGCAGCTGTTCAGGGATTACGTCCAGGAGAGCGGGATTTACGCGGAGGCTAGTCGGGGGGTGGCAGGGATACCTGTGACTCGGAGGTGACAGAACGGAAGCCTAGGTGGTTTGGCATGGAAAGAGGGATTGGAATCGAGGCTCAGTCGCGTGGTGGCTGAGGCGGAACGATGGAAGGGAGATTTTTTAAGTTTTTCTTTTGTAATGCGGGATTTCGCGTGAAAGTTTTTGTTTCGTTTTCAATTCTGGGCTGCTGAATTCGTCATGGTTCTACACATAGATGCATTTCGGCATGGTTCCGGTCATTTAGGTGGGACGAGGCATTTGTACTACACGGCAGTTAACCTGATCCGGCCCGACCCCACTTGTGCTCAAGCTCCAGTAGGAGCGCGACGGTAGTTACTTCACCTAGCACGTTAATGAACAAACAAACAAACACATGGTCAATGCTATCTATAGATATCAGATGACTCCTCTGACGTTAGGGACACTCATAATCTAGATCTGATTCGCAAAAAGCTCAGAGGTATGTTTGCCTATGAAAAACAATCAACCCTCCACCCTGAGTATCTATCAGATGGAAGTCTCAAAGCCTTTGGTTATCCAAGCATACCGGGGGGAGTTTTCTCAATACCTGTCAGCGGTGTCCCCTACGAACCTCCAGCTCTCACTGTAGAGTCTGCAGAGCCGAGGTTGAGGAACAAAGTCCTCACTTTGATGAGGACTACCAATCGCTTCCGCCGCCTTTATCGTCTTCATCTCTCAACACATTCCCCAATCACCATTATCATGAAGCCAACCGCGATCAGATCAGATGGTAGGGTCGAAGCCCTTTTCGTCACCAACACTTGATCATGGAGGAGATGCCAACCGATGAGTTTCCGGAGCGTACCCAGCACCCAATACGGAGATGGCAGATTGGATCAAGTCGACCTCGACTGTTACAAAGAAGGGAGATATAGATGAATATGCGCACCTCATGTGGTCCCGGTGTCTAGGCCTCGCCTGGTTGGGCCTGTAGGATTTTTGAGACCTTTTCCAGCGTACGCAGTTTCAATTGCTACCTTTATTTTTTATTTTTTGGATATAAGGTTACGTGAAAAAGGTGGCTGATATTCACGGGTAAATACTAGGCTGGGTGGCTATTCATCACGGGAATATATCAATAATTTTTCAAGTAACATAAGAGGTAAGGGGCACTGTAAAAGGTGCGACCTAGGCCAGAGAGGAGCCCAATATGCTAGATAGTCTGACTAGAGTAGTATAATAAATATACAACTCTCTCTCCCCAAGAATAGCGTGATATGTAGTTGTGCTTTGCCTGATAAGGACCAGCGATCCCCTGTCTCAAGTGAGATTTACGTCAAATATATCTCAACTCTACTCGGAAGGTCAATCCGGATAATGTACCACTGCACCATCCACTCGTGGCCGTGTTTGTTGTATTGCTTAAATTCTTGCCAACAAAGTGGCGGCGTGAACAATCATTTGTGTTTGATTCTAGTAGATGATTTCAAACCTAGTCGTGTTATGTGGCAGGCTACTGTTCTGGCCACCCATGGAGTCATAGTTAAGGCTGTCGGTAGTTTCGGTTTTGTGGTTGGTTATGAAGTTGGTTCCTGAGCGTGGTGTTTATTAAGCAGGCATATAACTCATAAAGCAGATCTTGCGGTAAAGAATGTCTCAAGCCTTCAATGAATGTAAAAACTAGAATAAAGCCATTTTTCAGAGATCTCAGCCCCGTTCCCAGAGACATAAAATGAATCAATTTTTGCAAGATAAATATAGAATGGCTGGTGGATGTGGAGAATATGAGAAATCATCTGTAGTAGACAAGGACTTGGAAACTCTTTCATCCCTGGGTAATGACTTGGATTAGCTAATATGGAAATCAATGTAGCCTCTCTCTAACCTATCTCATAAGATAATTTTTCCGTCTGCGAAAACAGACGCATATACTTAATCGCCATCGCTCGTGGAGAGAGTTAAGTCAAACAAGAATGCTCCTCGATGTGGAAAAGCCCTTCTCAAAATTTGAAATCACTCCCTAGCCAACATGGCATCTGACGTGAGTGCCATCTCTTCTATCTTTCATGATACGTCTCACGTTCACCCTGAAGATTTGGTCCCCAGTTTCGTTTCCTACAGCTGGCTTTTATATTGCCACAGATATGTATTATAAGGCCAGCGACTGAGTTGACGAACGTTATAGCCAATGAGATCTAGGTACACTTGAACGGACTTGTAGACTTAAGCATTGATTAGCTGGAGGCGACAATGTTTGGATTGAAAGATTGACGGGGTAGGGAGTCTAGAAGCACTGCCTCGTGTGCCACCTCTTTTGGTACTGCAAAATTAGAGCAATCTCGGCTTTGGAAGAATTTTCGCTACCAGGTACGGAGAAGACAACGTGGACAAGTGTGCGGTCTTCGTTCTCCCGTTAGACAGATGTGGATGGCTTGCCAGCGGGCCTGAGCGCCAACAACTTGCTCAAAACGTGTGGCTGCCGAGGCATGTTAGCGGGTTGATGACAAGGCCTTCATACCAGATGATGCCAATAGAGATCTGTCTTCAGCAATCCCAGCAGACAGACAGTTGTTGTTGTTTCATCATACGTAGAAATGAACTTGTGCCTTATTTTTAAACGAATATTTTCACCACACCCTATGCTTCATTCGCTGCACATTAGCACTAGGTACGATTCTGCCAGCCCTCGTCCATGAACATGGGCTCGAGAGAAGTTTCGCGCTGATAGACTCTGCAAATGAGTTCCCATTTATCGACTTACGGTGACGACATCTAGTACAACGCGACCGAGCTGGCCTCAACCTGGGAAATATGGATTTCCGGATAAAATATTGCCCATGTTGCGCTGACTCAGGAAACTTGGGTAGATGGCGTACCACGGCATTATCTGACACTTGGACAAGACTTGTACCACACATGTATACAGGCCGACCTGACTTGGGCTTACGAGACAGGACTGGGCGACTTAATAGCCAACCTGCTTCCGTACTACTTCAACCGTGTCATGCTAGTGTCTATGATGAGATGGCTTCAAAGCACCTACCGGGTATACGGAAATCACCAAGAAACCATCCCGACTCATCATAACATTCTTCGCAATGAAGGTCTGAGCGACGCAGTAATGACAAAAAAGTATCACCACGGTCGCACGTATCTCTACTACTGCCGGTTTCCGTTTCCGGAGCTTGCCTTGTCTTGTGGAAAGCTCTACGTGGGCGAGTCCCCGTCAGATAGTCTAATTGCAATAGATCGGATCGAGTGTCCACGTAGACCAGGAAGTCTTTGGAAGCGTTTTGAGATTAAAATTATCACCAGACAGTAGCTATCCTTGCCATTGTAAACTATTTATACGCCATGTCAGGCATCTGGCAAGATAGTAATCCTCTGGTAAGCCGCCCATCCGCATATGGGAAATACTATTTTTGCATGTCAGGCAAATTTCTCAAGACTGCCAGATATAACACCATTTCCTGTGACCAAGTCTTTTCGATCAAGCTGATTAGAGCCCCCTCTGCAGCGTGAGAGACCGGGGGCTTACTAGACACTACAGAGCGCCTTAACCACGCCTCGCACTAATCCGCTATAAGTGATATGGTACTGAAGAAAAGTACCACCGAAGTGAAATACTGGCAGGAAATGTTTCTCCATCGCCTGGATTCTATACTAAGCCTCTGGGGCAGATGCTTACCGGAAAGAGACGACAATGGTGGTATTGCTCTAAACGTTGACACAGTATTTCACGAGAAACTTCCGTAAGATACTATACGAAAGATGCCATTTGTTTCAGCGAGTAAGCTATGTGTACCACTACCTGAACATTCCTGGCGTCATCTAGTGTCAGTCCCTGGACTCGGCATACTTTTGATATAATGCCGACTAGTGGCTACAATGACGTAATCTACCTCGCTCGCCCCAGCGTAGAGTGGGTGGGAAAAGCCACGCAATCAATGTTTGTGCTCACTCTTCCCCATTCTTCCCTTATGTCTTAGTAGGGAGCTGAGCCTAATGCTACACCTCCCACACGAGCTACCGCCTTCTCGCTAGGTTCATGGTGCAGAAATATCGAGGTTCCCTGCACGGAATGATGTCAGTGTGCATATCCTTTGCACCCCAAGTTGTATAATGCAGGGCATTTCCAAACTCATCCCGCTACAGGCAGTGCCACTATAAATAAAATGTCGCGCTAGTCTAACCTTAAGTCCACTCGCTATCTTTCATTACAGGGGTCCCTTGGCACGAGCCTCATGCTCGACACGGGCTAAGAGTAAGAAGGATACTCTACTAATATTTTTAAGCGCCCCATGCAGCCCGCCGCATAGATGTTTTTCGATCAGGTTAATGGTCGCCAGTAGCTCGCTGATTCATCACTACTCGACCGGTGCAAAGAACCTACTCGCCTCTATTATTCTTGCATCGTTATTCGCAAAATCCCATCCAACAATGATATTTGTTTGGCTACAGCAAATAATTCTCCGAGCATCAAATTGAAGCTTGAAAACCCGCGCCATGTTATTGACGTTACGGTGTTGAGGTGGCATGGGGCCTGGAACGGGATTGGGAGCTACTGTAGCATGTGGAGATTGTAGACTAGGTTCTGGGATTAAACCCAGAGCATAATTAGAGGCTAGAAGATGTGACGGCAATCGTGTGTTTGATGCCGTCATAGACGTAGAATCTATGGGAGCTTCGGGACTATTAAATATCAAGGGAGATGGGCGTGTGCCACCAGAGGAAGTAGATTGAGCAGATAGTCGCCGATCAACTGGTGTTTGTGAGAAGTTCCGCATCTGATTGGCCAAGATAGCCGCTTGCACTATGTTTCCCATGTCTTGTCGCATGTTTAGTGGATAACGATTGATTTGGTTCATTATCTCATCCTGAAATCTCACAAGTTCCGGGTAAACCGCAAGTGAATGCCGCAAAGTGACTGGTCCTCGTGAAACCGAGTTCTCAACTACACTTAGATAAAACGTATCGCTTCTCGCAGTGGATGATGTTCCTGGGACAAATGTACCTCCAAAGGTTGAAGTTTCTCCAGATAATTCAGGAGTAGTCGGCGATGCTTGGTCGTATCGCGCTGATGATGCATTTGTGCTACTATCCGCTGATAATTTAGGTCCCATTTGAAGATTAAGTGCCGCTGCTCGTGCGGCTTCTCCCTGCTTAAGAGTATGTTGTGCTTTCCAAATCCCTTCTTTATCTCTGCGCCATATAATTATTGTCTCATCGTACGAGCCAGAAACAATTCTTCCGAATCTTCCACCTCCACCCCCGGGAGGCAGTTTAGCTCCATACGCCGTGATGTGTTCGGGTTTTCTGGATCCCGCGTTTGGAGGGCGCCCTCGCTCAGATCTCATTCCCCTTGAAATGGTGCCAGAATCAAGAGCTTTAAAGTATGCGTAGTCAACGGCTTTCGCGTCAGCTACATCTTCTTCTGCGCTGTAAGGAAGGTCTCCAAAACCTGCTTGAACAGTTCTTACGAGACTTTTATGAGCGCGAAGACTTGCAACTTCGAGCCCAGTTTGTTTGTCAAATACCTTAACTTCATTATCACTACTTCCGCTCACGATACGACGACCATCATATTGCACACAAGCAATTCCTTTGCTATGACCAATCAGAGTTCGTAAGCAAGTTTGTTCTGGCCAATTCCATACTTTGACTAAACGGTCGCCAGAGGCAGATACGACCTCTTCACCTCTAATCTGGACTGCGTTGACAGCAGCACTATGCCCTTCTAGTGTTCTGATTAATGAGTAAGCCGGTTTGATTGGCAGGTCCATCGATGGCGTAACATTCATTCCATAATTGTTAAGAAATGTGGGCACCGGATCTACTACTTCTGCCTCACCAGGATAGCCAAGTTCTCCTGGATGTAGTGGCTTCCTGTTAAATATTTTTATCGTTTTGTCCTTTGAGCAGGTGACTAAAACACGTTTATCGAATTGAACATTCAGAACGGAACCTTTGTGTGCCCGTCGAAGTCGTTGAATGACTTGTCCAGTAGAGAACTTCCACAGTATAACTGTCGCATCACTACTGCCCGAGACGATTAGGTCTTCGCTGGGATCAGCATCAAATTGTAGACACAAAACTGACCCGGAGTGTGCGCGGAGTGGAGGACGAGAAAGTCTTCGAGTATCTAAGTTCCAAATTCTAACAGTCTTATCTCTACTACCACTAACTAGATATTTCCCGCAATGTTGTATTGTATAGATACATTCACAATGTGCTTCTTCAGGGTGTGTCGGATCAGGAAGCTGAAAGTTGACGTATTGCTCTGACTCCCAGTTTGATTCTAGTCTTCGCCTCTGTGAATAAAGGTATTGCCAATTTAATCGCTTCTTAATACTGTTTCCACTTCGATCAAGGACGAATAAAGAAGACATGTTTAGTCGTTGAGCTAGGCTTCCTGCAGAAGTGGATATTTGGGAAGAGCCTCGAGTATTCATTTCGTTAATATCCGTCGGTGTGTCGTTTGCAGTAGAGTAGCTCATTAGTTTTGATATTCCAAGATCTGTAGCAAGAGCTTGGGGTCGAAGTTTAACCTCCTGCCTACTAGTGGTGGCTGGGGGTAATCTGAAAATCTTCGAGTCTAGAGGTGTTTCTGGGTCTTTACTTCTGTTGGGTGGACTTTTACACAGCGACATCGATCCTTGCTTGCTTTTTAATATTTTATCATCAATGGAATTAAAGACCATAAAATCTTTGTTCAATAGGTCTTCATATTGCTTAACTTCCGCTCTTATAATTCGGAAACCCTCTAGGAGATATAGCTTTTTCCATAATCTAGGCTCAAGTGCCAAGGACATCCACTCCCGAGATACGCATGCTGTTTGAAGTAGGGATGTTGCATCCAAGAATCCAAGAATATGCAATAGTACTTCATTTGGAAGACGCTCGAAAAAATTGATATATAGTCGAGGACGGAGACGACTAACAATTTCGGCTACTTGTGACGTTGGAAGGTGCGAGATTATTTCCATGATGTACCCTGTAAATACCTATCAGTCCCTATTGATAAGAATCATTACTTAAGTTCCTAGCATACCGGTGCGCTCTGTCACTGACATTTGTAAGAACCATGGCGGCAGTGAGGAAGAGGATGGTCTTGTCAACGGATCCTCACTGTAACCTTCGTCCGAAAGGAAATTGCTATCAGGCAGCATGGCTTGTTCGCTCATTGTCATCGATACAGTTGTAAATGGACATTAGCGTGTCTTGAAGCAATTAGTGCTAGACGTAGTTGAATTCCGCTTCTTGGCTCATAGGCTGATGGGCAAAAGGAGGAACTTTTGAACGAGTGATGGAAACATGTAAGCTAGCTGTACTAAAACATGAAAGGTTTGCTATTATATCTCGTTCAGGTCTTCTCATACATTATTTACTAAGTCGAAATCGGGATCGGTGGTTGTAGTGTACAAGTAAGCATTAGCATTAACTAGGACACTGGGTTCGGTTCCTGACTAGCGTTCAAAGGATTATGAGACAATGAACGACAACTTGAATCACCGTCATCTCCTTGTATCATCAAACTTCAACACCACTACCTTATCGCACCAATGTCAACTTTGAATTCAAATAATCCATTCTAACTAATCCGTTCATGTCATCAGCAGATGTCGCTGCCCCTATGGCAAATGCACATGGACCATTATTGAGAACACCAACCGCAATATCATTTAACACCCGAAGAAGCGCCGGCGACGGAGTATCTGGCGCAAGCCAGGCTCCATTGCAAAGTATGAGCGAAAGTTCACGCTCCTCTCAAGCATCTGGCTCAACACCTTACGCATCTCCATCAACAACATCGCTACCATCTATGTCAAGCTCCTCTAACCTGGTACCGTCAAACCCACAGCCTCAAAATGGCGGGCCAGTTATGCCTACAAACAATATTATAAACCAGAGAGCTGACGCTTCAAAATCACTTTATCAAATATGTGTTGGCCTGCGACTTAGACTAGAACACGTACCTGGGTTCAGTGAACATTTCGAAGACTCAGAGGATACTGATAGCGGAGAAGAATCGGATCCAGTATCTTTCTTATGGCGCTGTCTTCGGAAAGGTGTGCCTCTGCTAACCATATACAACGTATTACAAGCCCAAGAACCACTGCGTCTTGATGACAACATGCCAGCTGCGAAAAGACCCAAGGTAGCAGCGTTTAAATTCGTCGAGGCTTGCTTAAAGGGGAATCTGCATTTATCCGCGGGCGACTGTTTTGCACTTCAGGACTTATTTGGAGATGACACAACCGGATTTGTAAAGGTAAGCTCCTCTCTGGTTTAACGAACACGATATTATTCAACCTCAAAATATTTTTTAGTTTGCGAAATTGTACTGACGGGCGGATACAGGTCACCCATGTAATCAATATTGTACTCGATGTAGCAGAAAGACAAGGTCTACTTCTAACATCAGAGGAAAAAAATACAATACCGACAGAAAAACCCCCAATTAAGATGAGCTATAGAGATCATGTCGTTCGAGAGCTGGTAGATACCGAACGGAAATATGTACAGGATCTTGAAAACTTGCACCAATTAAAACAAACCATCGAGCAGAAAGGTGTACTTCCAGGCGATTTGATACACGATATTTTTCTCAACATAAATGCTATAATAGATTTTCAAAGAAGGTTTCTGATCAAGATTGAAACAACTAACTCTCAACTAGCAAAAGATCAGAACTGGGCACTGCCCTTCATTAACTTAGAAGATTCTTTTTCGATTTATCAGCCTTTTATCGCAAACCAGCGAAAAGCAGCTTCCATTGCCAAACGGGAATTCGATAAAATCTCATTGGCTGACCATCCAGTTGTTGTCGACTTCAATACTTTAGATGGGTTCCTTCTAAAGCCAATGCAGCGACTCGTGAAATACCCTCTTCTACTAAAGGTACATAACTAACTGCGTTGACATAATGTAATCGGGCTCTAACATACTCCAGGACATGCGAGATAAAACTAACGTAGATGAAGCTAAAAAAGCTGATTTAACACTAGGCATTGAATCTTCCAACAGAGTCCTTAAACAGGCAAATGAAGCTGTCGATCGAGAGCTAAGAACTGAAGCTCTAAATGATCTTTGTTCTCGAGTTGATGACTGGAAAAACCATCGTGTCGACCAATTCGGAGACCTTTTGCTCCACGGATACTTTCCTGTCCTCACTGGAAAGAGTGACGTCCAGAAAGAGGTAAAGTTCCCTATATTTTTTAATCCCTTCCTCTAAATAAAGCATCCAAATGTGCAAGATTTATCTGAAGCATGAAACTATGGCACTAGCAAAGTAACTGTCCATTAACTGCTATCAACCCCTCAATTAATTGTTAGAGATCTACCAGTGTCTAAAATTTTTGAAATGATATAACTTTTACAGCCCTTAATCTTGCATCTAAGAGTACAAATTAGCTGACCATCTATTTGAATAGTATAACATTTACTTATTTGAACGTATCTTACTCTGTTGCAAAGATCTTAATCCCAATAAAAGTAAAGACAAAATAATTGGTAGTCAGAAAGATAGGAAAGATAAGAAAGACAAGAATAAGAAAGATCCAAGCAAGAATAAGCTTCAACTAAAGGGGCGAATATTTATGACCAATGTAACAGAGGTTTTATATCTAGCAAAGCAGGGTATGCCTAATTTCAATTTTGAAAATGTCTGACATGTGACTAAATAATTATCCAGGGTCCTACACTGTTCAAATCTTCTGGAAAGCAGATCCAGGAGTAGAGAATTTTATAATAAGGTTTTCCAACGAAGAGACAATGAAAAAATGGTACGAAGGTGTAGATTGCCAGAGAAAACATCAAGAAAGTAGCACATCTTCTGCTAGCAGCTCCGACTTGCAAACACCTAGCTTCACCTGGAATCATCAAACAGGCCAGCCCGAAAATCCGTACACACAACAAGATGAAAGTAGAGAAGATGAGGTTACAGAAGTAGCGACTATTCAGCCTCTTCCAAACTCAACATATCCAGGTCCCTCTATGACCCGAAATCCGTCAATGACTAGTCTTCGACTAAGATCCACCCCCGGTGAGACCCCTCAGTCACTAGTCGGTATCGCTAGAGCACCCCCTCCACGATATCCATTAAGTTCGAAGGCTTCAAGTGGCCCCCTCAGTCTACAAACCCAACTCTCGCCTGCTCACCGAGGAGGCGACTCATACTTTTCTCCGGTCACTGAATCCATTGCAGAGTCACCGGTCTCATCGAGAACCAGCACAACATCCTCGGTGTTTCAATTCCCACGCCAAGGGACACCTCAAAACAACTGGGAGGAGCACAATCGCTATACTGCTCCTGCGGCGCCTCGGGCACCTTCACGAGGTAGTCAAAATAACTGTGACTCTTACCAGATGAATAGTCGAACACCTCAGCGGCCTTCGTTGCCAGCTATGTCATCACAATCTCAAGCTAGCTTTGCACAACAACGAAGTCGATCCTACAGCACTCCGGATATCAATGTCCAAAATGGCCTAAGGCGGCTACCAAATGGGGCTCTCAGTCAAGTTCCAGCTGTTCCTGGAATACCATCTCACCTACATCCTGGATATGACACAGGAATACCCCGGTCACAAAATTTATCCCTAAACGGGAATAACTTGGGTACCAGTAGTCAAATTTCCGGGAGTAATAGAGAAAGACCAGGCCAGGGCCATCATTTGTATCAAAATACGTCTTACAACCGAGCCAATGTAAATCACATGCCCATGACACCCCTTGAAAATAGGATAATCTCACCTGGTAGACCTCCATCAGTAGATAGTGACCCGAGCCTACCCACTCAATTGAAAGTAAAGGTTAATTGTGATGGAAATTATGTTACTCTTGTAGCAGCTTTCAACATAACGTATCAGTCACTCGTTGACCGGATTGATGCGAAAGTAGGAAGATTTTCTAGTAACGCTATATCTCAGGGAACTATGCGACTCCGATACCGGGACGAAGACGGTGACTTTGTCACTATCGAATCAGATGACGATATCCAAATTGCGTTTCAAGAGTGGAGAGACTCTCAGAAACAACAAAATCATCAAGGTTCCCTGGGAGAAATCGAACTGTTTTGCCTCAGCGCTGATTAAAAGTCTACGTTTTACTCATTAATTATGGGCTGGGTCATTGACTGAAAGGAAATTTAATTAAAGCATCTTTAATGAGATGATTATTCTTAATAGAAAGTGGGTAAGAAGATTTATGACATGAACGCCAAATGACTGCGGAATTGCTAAATTTAGAAGTATGTTTGCGATATTTGGAATAGGCGTCTGAGGGCGCATTTCGAATTCAATCTTGCAAGGCTGTAAGAAGGCGCAATTGGCTGGAATGGAAAGTGGTTATTTCAATGAGTTAGAGTCGTAGATACTGGAAATCTTTCTTCAAATTTTTACTATGACCCTATGAGCGTCTTCGTTACAAAACTCCAAATCCCAAGATATATTTTGTGACATTTTACGGTGAGTAGAAATGACACCATGATCGTGCCCAGTGTTGCCCGGCTTCTTATCTTAGCTAGACAGCTTGCATGGTTACAAAGCCTTCTTACATTGCACAAGTTATTAGTTTCTAGTGTCTAGGATTCATAAATAGTTAATTTACTTCCTTTTCTTCGGGCTAACGACATTGGGGAGCATTCGCGCGAGGTGATAGTTTATGGTGTTTCTCTTCTGACTCCGTTGATTCTAGATAGGTTGTTAGCCAGAAACAATTGGTGGATAATAGGAGAGATTGTATACATACCGGTGTGTCCATGCAAGTCCTCAGCTGCGTCTCTAGATTTTGACAGCCCTCAACGTTAAATCCATTTGATGCCCAGCATGCTTAAAATAATGTTAGCAGCGATAAATTTCAAAAAATATTTTTCTTAATTACTCAAAACAGAACTCATTAATGAGAGACAAGGATTTTTTCCTCCGGTGTTTGCACCGCGGACACTTAAGCGGTTCAGGGGCGGTAGGCGTATAGGTTTTTGAATGGTGCTAGTGCCAACCTTCTTAACAGCCATTGTAGTTCGTAAATTGCGTTATTCGTCCTGTCCACTTACAGGTGTGATGCATATCGAACCTAGTGTAGCAAATACAGATTAAGTGGGCTAATCTGTATTAGTCTCAGGACAGGGCTGGGTTTCTCAGCCTTGTATTGCCGTGAATACTTTTACATATTCTAATGCCCATTCGACGCCTCTCGGCCCAGTCATCATTGGCCACACACAGACTTCAAGACATGGCACAAACTTGCAAAGGAAGAAGAGCCATGAAGATCCATTTGTCAGCGGCATACCCTACGAGCGTTTGGGCGAAACAATAAGGCGGTCAAAATCCTCACGAACAAGGCTAGGTCTAGGAGCTCGAAAACTTAACACCTGATAGCTATCTGCTTCCGAAATCTCCTATCACGGGCAAGTTTGCACGGCAATGACTGAGTTACATCTAGCTTCGAGATCAGTCATTTCCTGCGCTCGGCCAGTTGGATTCTCCGAACGCCAAATAAGAGTCGCTATTGCTTCGGATATGGGGTTAATGTTGGTAGTGGGAGAGGCTCGTACAGAGTGGTTTTCGAGAGTTTCCCTCGCACACACATACACCCGAAAACGACCATCGCTTCGTCTGCTGGAGAGGGGTGGTAAAGGCTCCAATTAGTGTGTACTCAAATCAACACTTGTCGGGGTATTACCGCTAGGACGACGTAGGGAAATAGGAATTACATGTCCCTGTATATTCATAGGCTCATATGGACCAGTACAATGTTCCTGTCTAATTCTAGAAATATGTATAATCACACAAAGTAGATCTTGTCAGAAAGTGTAAGTCGCCTGATCTACATATCAGTCCTTTACATCATCGCCTTGAAGAGCATTAGAAGTGTAGGGCCAAGTCGAATGAGATTGAACATCGTTTGCGGCGCAACAAATATCGTCACACCTGGATGAATAGGTAATACTAGCTTCTACCAATGGGTTTAGTCAGGCCAGTATGTTATACCTATGATACTTTGTGCCTCTCTCTTCGCGCCGTGACGCCGCATCATTTGGCTCCCTGCAAACTCACTCTTCAGTCCTAGCATATCCATGGCCCAAACCCCTCAGTGTCTTTCAAGCTCAAGGCGATATTGTAGCATATCACGAAAGCTTCTAACTACCATTGTAAGATATGGTACATCAATATTTTTCCTCTTTCCCAGCGTTATTATCATCGTTTTGGTCGTCATATGTGTCGAGGGTAGCGTATCTCAGAGGCAGAGGAGGTGACTCATGTCAAAGTTGAATACATGTGACTCGATCTTGGCTGCGCAAGCTCTCCAGTAGGCAATTGTCAATCAGGTGTTGCGTTTTCGACCGCTTGGCAGACTCTTCAACAGGGTTCGAAGTACTGGCTCATCATGAAGTTGTCATCATTCATGGCTGAAATACCTACATTGTCTAATGTGTCTAGTAGTCCCGCTTACGTTAGCGGATTTATGCATGAAGAGATACTAAATATTAAGAACTTAGGCTCAAATAGGCTTAGATGACTCTATGCTCTACGAATCTCACCTTGCCAAAATTGTGCCTATTTTTGAACATTCCTATCAAATCCAAAGAGATTCTATTTGTGACATGTCATGGATGAGGGTGAAAGAACACTCGGCGAATAATCTAACGGCTTCTTTCAAGCATTATTTTCACCACTCAGACTGTGTAGATTACGTCGTAGTCTAACGATCTAAGGCTGGCTGTTGATCACCTGCGATCGGCGTAGATTTAGGTCCCTCGTCTCATCGTCGGAAGCCAATCAGAGAAGTTTGCAGGGTAGGATCGTCAAGTACGCCAGAATCCCTAATGTCCCAAAGCTGGCGCCGAGTTCGTTCCTACCAATCAAGGGAAAAGGGTATCAGATTGTGGCACAAAGTGGTACATTTAAGATTGTTTTTGGGGCTGCGTTTATAAGGTCCTCAGTCATCGCAGATGTCTGTTGATGACCACATCTACCCTTCTCTATTATTGCTCCTTCTCACATGATGCGTAACAAAGCCAGAAAGATCTGGCAAAAGATTTCAACGTCTCGTCAATCATACGAATATCTCCCGTTAGATCCGCGCCAAGTTAGGATCTTGACATTGCACCCAAGCAAAAGTTTTGAAGGTCCCCTTATCATCACACTTCGCACATGCGACCTCCGCACGAGTACAGATAGCTATGAGGCCCTCTCCTATGTCTGGGGAAACCCAACACGCAACATCAGCATTGAATGTAATGGAGCTGTGCTGGAGATAACCCCTAGCTTGGAAATTGCTTTACGCCGACTCCGCTTGCAGAACGAATATCGAGTGCTATGGGTTGATGCGATATGTATAAATCAAGATGATCTCGAAGAACGAGCACAGCAGGTTCCGCTCATGAGAGAAATTTACCCCAGAGCTGCGAAAGTCGATATATGGCTTGGTGAAGCGGACGAAGATACGGAACTAGCTTTGGAAACCATACGAACTTGGGCAATCTTCAACAGTCAGTACCGTGATAATAGTGATTCGACTCGCTATGCAAAATTTGAAGAGCAATTCGCCTTCAAGCCCGGCTATCGCACAATGCTGAAAGCTGTTGGAGCTCTTACATGTCGATCCTGGTTTGACCGATGTTGGACTTTCCAAGAGGTTATCCTCTCTACCAATGCAGAGCTACAAATTGGCGAATTCCGTCTCTCGTGGGATTGTTTTTACCATGCACTCGAGGCTTTTCCTGTGCACCTTTTGGCGGATGATTTACTGAACTTTAATGCACTTTTCATGTGCCATGGGAAGGCTCGAACGGCAAGCGCTGCGTCAAAAGATCTGTCCATTTCCATTTCGCGGGATCTCTCAAGACTTCTGCAACTAACGCGGAATTTCACGGCCAGTGATCCACGTGACAAGATATATTCCTTGCTTAGTGTGGCATCTCTCAAGAACTCTGCATTGTTTCAGCCGCGTTACGATATGTCGGTAAGCGATACATACATAACTTTTACCCTAGCTATGATTCATGACGAGGGAAATTTGAATGTACTTTTAAGTAGTGGGGAAGAAGGCCGCAACAAAGATTTGCCATCCTGGTGTCCAGACTGGAATTGTAAGCGCGGTGTAACCTTGATAGGCTTCTACGACTACACTTCTTACTCTTTCAATGCGGGCTTACGTCCTGACTTGAGTAATCTGCAAATGAATGCGTACCGAGAATTGGAACTTGATGGGGCTCTGATTGATGTTGTTAAGGAGGTTCATGATCTCGGGGAACTAGCAGACGAACTTAAAACCTCTTTAGAACATTTAAACTTTGCTTCTGTACTATCAAAATTTGCTCGCAAGTTTGGCTTGCACACCGATCGGCTTCAAGATGGACTCTCTCCTGAAGCGACACTACTTCGTACACTAAGCGCTGACCATTGGTTTTTTGGTGCACACCTACGAGGATCTTACAAAGAGCATTGGTTCCCTACTCACTTAAGTTTCAGCGAACTGAAGCAAAATAGGGGGGAAGACTTGGAGAATGAACCGGTGCCTCGCAAAGTCGAAATAAAACAGAGGATCCTGCCCTACAGCTTGCATCAAGATTCTACGAATTATTCTGGACTAAGTAGCGGTAATGAAACATGTTTGAATGAAAATAAACCAGAACACCTTGATTACGAGGTAGAGAGTCCATTTACTCATTCTGTGATTGATATGGTCTACCGAAAAGCTTCCCCGTTTTATGTCGAAGGCCAAGATTTCGACGATGCCAAAGATGTAGATCCGCTAACTTTGAAAACTATTGCAAAGGAAGCGATAAGCCAGGCGCTCTTCTTCTTCAAAGGTAAGCATATTTTGATTACGCGCCGCGGCTTCATAGCAGTTGGCTCGGCCGAGTCGCGAGTGGGGGATAATTTGTGTTCGTTTTGGGGCGCTGACGTACCGTTTGTCATCCGAGAAAATAAAGATGGAATCAAAAAGAAGCCGACAGATTCCGCTTGCCGGATCATTTGTGAGTGTTATATAGATGGCTTAATGTATGGTGAGCTTTTTCGCGTGGACAACAAAGAAATCCCAAACAAAAGTCAGAACTTGAAAATTCAACCAATGGTCGACTGGCTTGAAATAAAAAACTTTCGGGTTGGATAAGATCTTTCCAACAATAAGCGATAAAGCTTCGTCGTCAGTTATCTTGAGATTGACTTCGGCCTATTTGTATTTTCACCTTCATCCTCCACTTTGAGCTCGCCAGAAAGGCTGGCGGGTAGAATTTTGGCTGCAGACGTGGTTGTAGCTTTTATCGCTCCAGAATAGGAGCATCAGACTTTGGGCAAGAATTTTACATTTAACTTGATACTCGAGAGGTATATTATTTGAGAGTATGGGGACCAGAGGCTTGGCGTCAGTTGATCTTAAAGATCGTATTACATTTTCGTAACTTATTCTTTTACATTAATGCATTACGATACAGTACTACAAATTCGCCGCGTCATATATTACATGTTCTTGACGTGCAGATGTTGAGTGATTGAGTGGAGTTTAATCCGTAAGAGTATTTATATTTGGCTCATACATACCAGGTGTTGGCACTCTCCGCGTCTCTGAAAAGCCGAATACAGGATGAAAAAATATCCTTGAATTGAAGGTTTTATGGATTAGGATAAACATTGTCTTGCCTGAGTGACTAGAGTATCTGCGGCTTTGCCCATGAATTGAATCGCACCAGGCCCTAGCATCTAGAGAGCCCATGACCTGCGCGCCGAAAGGCAAACTGTGGCTAGTCCCAGCCACCTCGTTGTAGGACTCTGGAAACTCTCCCATTCCTTGGGTCCAATTTGGCTCGTCCAAGCTTCTCATCAGCAACACGGGTCATTCTGCTATACCTGGTGTATGGAATGGAATTGATGCTTGTGTCGGAAGGGCTAGGGCACTTCATGGAGAAGTCCTCTTCGTCAGTGGGGGCCGCGTGGAAAACGTAGAATAAGAGTAGAGTTTTGTCTCTCCCCGTCCTAGCCTAAGAAGCGTCTTTCGACAGATACATGTATGCTACCGGTATCCACATGTCCTACGGAGCGCAGGAATATCTCAGCACCGTGTGTTTGTTTTGTTCATCAACGTGCTAGGTAAAGTGACTACCGTTGCACTCCTACTGGAGCTCGAGCACGGGTGGGGCCGGGCTGGATCGGGTTATCTACCATTAAGTACATCTACCTCGTCCCACCTCAGACTTCACCGACGGGTTGAATCAAGTCAAGTCCAACCGTCCAGAGAGCCCTCTTTTGACGCGCCGAGGCGCAAATTCTTCCTCAGCCTCGGCCACCACGCGCCCGAGCCCTGGACATCTTCGCCATCTGTAACTTTTCCCGGCCGTTCAGTCCGAGCATTGGCTCAGCTCAGCATCTGTTATATTAACTAGGCTATATGGGAGCAGGACGATGGATACTCTTGGGGAAGTTATGCTCACAGTAGGTCTCTATAGTCGCTGTCGCGTGTGTTCTCGTGATATGTAAGACTTGACTCTATATTCTCGTATAAAGGAAACTTAGTTACAAATGAATGGACGGAGGTTGAGACCTCCTTATATCTTGCTCCAGACTTACTGTGTTGTTCACAGCCTAGTGCTAGAACATTCCCTTATGATATCATTTCTCTCCTACGAGAAATGATCAGCTCGTTCTCTCTCAGTCCATCAGTCTCTCGCTGATTCCGTTATCTCTATTCCATCTAGTTCTAGTTTGGTCCAGTATACTCACACATGCATCACACATGCATTACACACTAAACACCCTACGGTTTAGTTCCACAGTCACGTGCATATGCTATGACGCGACCTAAAGCATGTACCATGGTAAGTTACATGGATAACACAACACTCCCCCTGACGACAATAGACGTCTAACAATTTTGAAGTTGCATTCTAGAACTGATGTGTTCAGGATGGACGCCGAACATTTTCGAGGAATCAGCACTCATTTTATTTGTACTGAAGAATTTGCCTTTGTCAGACTATCCGCAAGTTGTTGATCCGATGGCACATAAATCACTGCAATCGCTTCTTGTTGATACTGTTGGCGACAGTAATTATTCCGCAAAGCAATATGCTTCGAGCGCTTATGGTTGTCGTGATTTTTAATCAGTGACATCGCGGATTGATTGTCGACGTACAAATTCGTTCGTTCCGACCCTTCAATGAGTTGAGCAAGGCCTAATTCGATTAGTAATGATTTAACCCATTGCAGCTGTCGACATGTCTCCGTTGCGGCTAAATACTCCGCCTCTGTTGTTGATAAAACAACCTCTCGTTGTAAGTGAGATCTCCAACTCACTGGCCCCGATGCTAATCTAATAAGGGAACCCGATGTCGATCTGCTCGAATTTGGGTCACCGGCAAAATCTGCGTCCGAGTAGGCTTCTAGAATTGGTCTTCTCTTCTCCGTCTTGAAGGTTATCCCTTTCTCTGGATCTTTCGAAATATATCGAAGAACTCTCTTTGCTGCCAGGAAATGCTCGTCTGATGGATTTGCTAAGAATCGTGCCAGATGGTTGACGGAGTGGGCTATATCGGGACGTGTGTTATTCGCAAGATACTGTAGCCCACCCACGATCGAATTATACTCTGCCTTCTGTTTTGGTGAACACTGAGAGCTATTGGGCTCCATTAAGCGCTCAAGTGGCGAGTTTGCTGGCTTACATTCCTCTAGTCCATGCCTTGTGAGTAATTTCCTCGCGTACTGGCCTTGCGATAATTTAAGCGTTTTATTATTTGGGTTACTAATACGAATCCCCAGGAATAGATCCGTCTTCACCGTCTTCAGCTTATACTTCTTGTACAAGGCCTTCATCAACTTCTCTACTTTCCCAATACTCGGTCCCATCACCTGAAAATCGTCGACGTGGATTATCACAAACAAATCCTTCTCTTTATTACCATAAAGGCATACGTCTGTTGTGAATGGGAATAGCCCCTGATGGGCTAGGAAAGCTTTAACATCATCGTACCATAAGGCTGCGGCTTGCTTGAGCCCATACAGACCTTTTCTAATACGGACAACGTAACCCTCTTTCTTGAATCCCTCTGGCATCTCCATATATAGATCTATATCTAGATCTGGATTCAAAAATGCTGCCGGGACATCTCCTTGTTGCCTATACCAACCGAACCTATGTGCCAGGACCAGCATGATCCGCCCAGTCTCTGCTCGTGGTGTGGGTGCAAATGTTTCCTTATAATCTATGCCCGGACGTTGGGTGAACCCTTTAACGGTACATCGCGCTTTGTATTTGTCGAGGGATCCGTCTGCGAGCAGTTTCTTTTTAAACACCCACTTGCTCTTCATAAGCGTTCGGTCTTTTGGTATTTGGCTACGCTTTATAATTTTAATCACTCCCATGTCCCGCAAAGAGCGATACTCCTCATCTGCCGCTTGTTTCCAATGTTTCGCTTCCTGGCTACTCATCGCCTCTGACCACGATTTTGGATCACTGTGAGGTCTTGTCGCTTTGCCGTGGTGAAGTTTGTAATAATCAACTCTCTTAATTGGTCTACCACGCTTGCTGCGCGTCACTGGAGGTTCTACCGAGTGATGACGCTTATGTCCCGCTATTGGAGGTAGTTCATCCCATCCTGTCATTATTTTGTCATAGACCTCCTCTTCTAGCTCGGTATTTTCAACAACTGGCCCAATCTCTCCCTGATCGGACTGTAAGTTCCCTTCCCTATGGGAGACCTGATTCTCATCTGACTGACGACCAGCTTCCTCAGTATCATCTCTCTGTCCTAGCTGATCAGATCTCTCGGATGGACTTATCGATGCATGTTCGCTATCATATTCACTGGCACTATCAACGGAAGGTGACCTAACTGATCGATGTGGAATTGAAATCAGTTTATCATTCACGACTGATACTTGTGGCCATTGCCCATCACGAATTACAGGAACAGCCGGAGGTTGTGATACTGGCTTATCTTTCGAAGATATTATGGTCTCTTGTCTATCAGGTCTTTGTTGTTGACTGTCTGACGCCGTTTGAATGGTCTGCAGTGGAACCATTGGAGGCACTTTCTGATTTGATGACTCCTGACCACTAAATAATTCCGGAACGACAGGTGGCGATAAATCCTGCTGTTCTGACAGCTGCTGATTCCCCTCTTCTCTCATATTAGACATCTCAGGCAAATTTATATTCGGTTGACCGATCGACGAAGATAGCGGCTCCCCCTCAAACCTGTCTCTGGTTTGATCTCTCTGAGAAGGATTCTGCAAGGTACTCTCTTGCATTCCTTCGACAGGTAATGGATTTTCACTGGCCCAATAATCAAAGGTTCTCTGCTGGTCTGATTTGGTGAGCATATCCCCGAACATGATATCCTCATTGAAAGTGACGTGTGGAGTACAACTTTCTATCCATTTCCAGCCATGTTTTTGGGTCCAGCGAGGATGGTAAATCAAATAATTTTTGCTGGTATTCTTAGGAAAGCCAACAAACCACCCTTTCTCTGCTCTTGCTTTAAACTTTTCCGGTTTCGGATCGATAAGCTTATACGCTTGACAGCCAAATCGAGGTAAGCAAGAGAAATCGACCTTTTCATGGTGCGGCTGCTTCAAAGCTTGCAAAAAGTCGACTATTGGTACCCTCTTGGTACGCAGGCAATATAGCCTATTCGTTATAAAACACGCGTGTTCCACTGCCCATGGCCAAAAGCATGGCGGCATTTGTGCGTCGATCAACATAGAGCGCGCCTTTCTTAGGATGATCTTGTTGGAGGCTTCTGCAGCGCCGTTCTGTTCGGGTGTATTTGGTGCTGACACATCAGTGCGAATACCATTCCGGATACAGTATTCTCTCATACGGCTAAACTCTGTGCCTCCGTCTCTGAAGATGATGCGAATCCTCTTTCCAAACTGGAGATATTGATATTCACTCCACTGTATCAGCTGTGTCGCAATTTCATCCTTTCCGGCCGTGGTTATAGACCACCTCATCCGTGTTTTTGCATCCGTAAGTATGACTGCATATTTGTGACCGTTAAACGCTTCCGTTAATTTCCCTACTGTATCGACAAAGATCTCATCTAATGGTTCACTTGGTGTTGGTCTTGGCTCCCTCGACACAAACCTCTGCGCTTTACTCAAGTGACAAGTCTCACA